CACACACACACACACACACACTGATAAACTTATCCATACGGCCCAAGGAGATAGTTGCGTACCTTCATTAGTATCATTATTGAACTAGGACCTGTAAGAACCATAATAACCCCTTGATGACGTCATGGAAAACAGCTGCCACAGCACAATGAGGTCTGCAGTCCGCTTTCTTCTCCATTTCCTATAAAAAGGGCGAGTTAGAAATTGAAAACATGATATCCCATGGGTAATATTCTATCAGTGCATCTGTAAATAAAACTGCGTACGTTATGTGAATGAGGATTAATAATTGAATATTGTTCTGCCTAGTACGCACTCACACACATAAATTACTTCCCCCGTGTTTATAGAACTCTTTTACAGTAAGATAGGTAGTGATTTGATAAATGGATAAGGTTACCCTGCACGCGCGCGAACACACACATGTACACACAAAAAGGCCTAGATTATTTTTCCTGTGATTTGGCAAGTACTGGCATTAAAGCATGTTTAATACGCCCAAGGTACAAAAAGATTTTATAGATTTAGTAAAAATGTGATTAAATCGCTTTCATTACTTGCCACCTTATTAATCGGAAATATTCTGAACCGATAATATATTTCACAGTCTTTTGTGGGGCCTTTTGTTCTGACGTGCATAGTCTGTCAACCTCAAAGTACGTGATAAACACGTTATAGAATAATTATAATCGAATTCAATAAATTTTCATTCAAAAGTGGAAAATACAGCATTCAATGTTAACCAAACGTCATAGAAAGAGGCGGCTTCCCAGTGCCCCCTTTCACTGTTCACCATACTGCCAAAATCACTGAATAGTAACTGAGCACCCTGGTTTTGACAAAAACCTAAATTTTGTCAGTTTTTACCTTATGATTTTAATTTCAGGTTGAAATTTTTTCTACTTAATTGCAGTGAGAGGTGCTGTTGAAGAAATTTTTGAAAATTTATTATTTTTACATAGACCTACTTTTCTTACACTGTACACAGATTTACCCTCGTTTATGTGTGACTCTTTTTATTTGTTGATTTTTCACTTTTCAAACATATAATATTAAAAAAAATATGAAATAAGGTCGTTAACTGTTTTTCCAGGGTGGAAAGCATTGTGGCAAACAAAAGATTACTTGGAAATTTAATCAG